CCCCAAAACCCCAAAACCCCAAAACCCCAAAACCCCTAATTGTGAGGCACTGATTGAATTATTTATCAAATATCTAAATCTTAGCCTGTGGCTTCAAGTCGACAACACCGGTTGAGATAACTGTTTTTCTCTCAACAGTACTTGCTGAGAACAAGATGCTATCTCCTTCCTTAAACATGTCTACTTTAATGGTCTCTCCTGGATATACATGAGAAACAAATCTAACACTAATATTTTTGATGAGGGAAACATCACCTTCACAGTATGTCTCATAAACAGCTCTCCCCAAGATTCCATAAGTGCAGAGTCCATGAAGAATCGGCTTTTCGAAACCAGCAAGCTGAGCTGCGCTTGGAACGATATGCAAAGGATTTACATCTCCACAAAGACGGTAGAAAAGAGCAAGTCTTTCATCTGTGGGGGCCTCAAAGCTCTGATCTGGCTCTCTTGTTGGAGGATCTGGGATCTTTTGATCTAGGATTCCTTTGTCACCGAATCCACCTAGTCCTCTCACATAGAATTTCATATAGCATCTTGAATACATTTCATCAAGATTCTCTGGATTTTTGAGGTCAATTCTGACTGTCATGAGCATTCCTTTCCCTTTATCTGCGAGGTCTTCCATAACTGCAACACATCTTACAGAGGAGCCTGGAGGGATAGGGTTAGAAACTTCAACAATCTGCTCTCCATGTAGCAATGACATGATATTAAATTGAGGGAGCCCTGGTGTTTCAAACATTTTCGTCAAGCAAACCTTCAATGCTAGAACACTAATTGTAGGAAATGTGGTAAAATCGTCATCATACTCATAAATAAACTTGAAGTCATCTTCATTGCAAGGATCTTGGTTGAATCCCACACACAAGTGGTACAATTGGCATAGTTCCTCTGTAAACATCATATCTTCTTCACAGATGACATGGCCTCTAGCTTTGGATGGGTCTACCTCCATTTTTCAATATTAAGTAATTACAAAGGGGTTTTGGGGTTTTGGGGTTTTGGGGTTTTGGGG